TCGCGTCCGGCGAGAGAGCTGGGTTTTGAGAACTCTCCAAAATCAATTCATCTCATGAGGTTATGTTGGCTTGACTTCTGCTTCTATGCTGCCTTTGTCTGTGCTTCTGTGCTTCAGCAGATGGACGAGAGTCCCGGCAGTCGCCTCCAGCGAGAAAGTGCCGCCGCTTGGACTCCTTCCACGAACCTTCCCAGCTTCCTGCAGCAGAGCGTTCCAGCTGACTCATCCAGCGACGTCGCTGACGCAAGTCCACGTCAGAGCAACGGGGCGACATCCCGCACCGACCCTGAACTTGCCGTTCCTGCTGATTCTGCATCAAAAGCAGCAGCATCATCATCCTCATCATCGACATCTCCATCCACAGAATCTACACAGTCTAACGGTGCTGTGAAGAACGACCCAAGCCCCTACCAGCAGCCAGGTTTGCAGCAACCAAACCAGCACCCACCACCGCCGCAACAGCAGCAGCAGCAGCAGCAGTGGCAGCCGGAGCCGTTCGGCCAGGTGCTACCTTCCCAAGGCGACCTGGCATCGCTCCCCGAATGCACGCGGCAGCTCGCGCCCTTCCCCAAGCTCAACCGGTCGGACGAGGTGGTCAGGCGCTTTGCCTGCATGGCGGAGACGTACCTGCGCCCCTGGGTGGGGATGCCGCTGGGGGGCAGCGGCGGTAAGAGCGGGGTTGGAGGGGAGGCGGAGGAGGAGCCACGTGGCATTATTTCGCATGCCATGCTGCAGCACGTGGCGTCTGAACCCGGGGTGAGCTGTCACTTGACACGTGTCAAGAATCCGTTCTTCCCCAGCAGGACTGGCTCTGTAACTTCACACCTGCACAGGTATTGCTGCACCGACTCAATCAGTCCGTTCCCCCTGCCTATCCCCCATACCCACAACCCCGCCAGTTCATGTCGTGTTTGGGTCGCATCCGGATAATAGACGGCAAGGTCTTTTTCCGCTACGGGGCTTCCACTACCAGTGGGACCACCTGCTTTCCAGTCAACTCAAACCCCATCCCCCCCTCCCCCACTGTTCTCTCACTTTCCCAGTTCATGTCCTGTTCGGGTCACATCCGGATCATAGACGGCAAGGTATTTTTCCGCTACGGGGGCTTCCACTACCAGTGGGACCGCCTGCACCGCTTCGTGCAGTCAGTGAAGCTCATCCAGGCCGCCCTGCACCAGTACGGCCTGCACCGCCTGCGCGCTGAATTCTTCCTCTCCACGTGCGACCTCCCCAAGAGCTTCGACAGCTCCCTCTCGGGCATGTTTGGCGGCCGGCCGATCTTCAGCACGGAGTGGCTGCCCGGCACGCTGGACATTATCGTGCCGGATCCGCTGGACCTGTCAGAGGATTACCAGGCTGGCAAGGACGCCAAGGTGAGAGCCGCCTGGGCTGCTGGATCAGAGGGTTGTTAGGCAAGGAGAGCGGGCGAGGTGAGGGTTGCTAGGCAGGAAAGGACGCCAAGTTGATCAACTACGTCTTCTGCAGCTGCCCATGTGCTGCACGTGCCAGGCAGACCCCACATGTGTTGCGAATCCAACACACTCCATGCATTCACGTCCCTTCCTTCCTCACGCACCAGACCCCTCAGGAGAGAAAGGCAGGCAATGCAGTATTCAGGAGTGGCTTGACCAACTTTAAACTCAGTCTATCTGTAGACGAACATCCCATCCCACACATGCTTCATCCATCCATGCACCTATCTTTGCGTGTTCACCTGACAGACCCCCTGGGAGAGCAAGGCGTTTATGGTTTAGGGTTGGGGTTGAAGGTTCATGGTTTAGGAGCGGGCTCCTGGAGGGGGCTATAGCATCAGGCTCTAGCAGCTGGTCTATCTGTCGGCGCCTAACCACCCACACATGCTCCATCCGTGCACTATCTTTGCCATTCACCTGCCAGACCCCCTGGGAGGGCAAGGCAGTCTTCAGGGGTAGGCTTCATCAATATCTATCAAGCTTCTAGCTGGGCCATTGATGGAGGCACCTCATGATTCAACTCCCCTCCCACCCTCACCCGCCAGACCCCCTGGGAGAGCAAGGCGAGCAAGGCGGTATTCAGGGGCGGCTTCACCAACTTCAAGCTGGGCCCCGACCACCGATGGCGCGTCAGTCCGCGCTACCGCCTGCACCGGTCAGACACTCTTACCCTTCCAAGCCCGTTCCTCTGGTCCTCCAGTCTTTCCTCTCCCCCCCTCCCTCTCCTTCCCCCCACCACGTCTTCCACCACTCGTCCCTGTGCTGCTTTCTTGTGAATGAAAGAAGAGTGCTTTTGACCTCAGTTGGCCAGTCAGCCTGCACTACTACCTGCACTGTTCATATGCCCTTGTGTGACTTACACCACTTTCCCTTCCCAGACTTACACATCTTCCGAGCTCTTGCCTGCTTGCCCTCGGTTCAGTTTCATGCTCTTGCTTCAGTGTACTCTCCCCTCCCACACTCTGTCCCTTCCCCATTCCTGCACTGCTAATCTCCTCTGCATTTGTGAGCGAAGTGATGTTTTTCTTAGAAATCGATTCTTCCAGCCTTTCAAGGCTCCAAGCTTCCCTACCCTCTGCTCTGTGCTGTCTGCTTGCTGCATTGGGGGGCATGAATGCACTCACGTGGGGCCCTCTCACGTTACCATGTGTGCCTGTTGCATGTGGTATGGTATTTCCCTCCCTGTTGCCTTCGGCAAATGCAAGCTGGGTTATGCATGTGGCGTCATTTGATGATGGATGGGTGGGTGTTGTGGCATTGGGTTGGGATGCAGGGGCGGACTGCACGCTTGACAGGATGACTGATTTGCGCCCGGATTTACTCGATGCGCGAGTCATGAGACTACTGGTTGACGACAAGACAAGAAACATGTGAGTGCCTCGTGCAAACACTTAGAGAAGCCATCAAAGGGCCAGAAACGTGTGACATGCAAACACTTCTGAAACGTCTTTGAAGACCAGAAACATGTTTTTTAGACGCAAACAGGACTCCAAAGACTGGGAAACATAGCGGCAATTATCTCACAGACGATGCCCTTTGCTGACTAGTCACCTGTGCATGCGTGGCTGCAGGGCCATGAACGACGGGCTGAGCGAGGCCCCCAAGATGGGCAAGGCGGAGTCGCAGCGCTTCAAGTACGAGGTCGTCGTGGACGGGGGGGCCGGCTCCTGCCGCACTTGTGGGGTTCTGGGGAGCGATCAGGTGGGTATGGTGTTTCTTTCTATTGGTAGGCTGGGCTGGGCAGCGACCAGGTGGGCTGGGCAGCAACCAGGTGGGCTGGGCAGCGACCAGGTGGGCTGGGCAGTGACCAGGTGGGCTGGGCAGTGGGCTGGTGGGTCTGTTGTGGTGCACGCGTGCCAACTCTGATTCCATGTCGTTGCCTCGGAGGCCACGCCCTTTGCTCAGCTCCATCAGTAGCTGCTCCAGCCGGGAGTGATTCTAAAGCTGATTCCATTATCTTCCCATCCCCCCCCCCCAAAAAAACCCCTTCGCCAGGCCATGATTCGGCAGGACACGCCCTTCGCCCAGTTCTACCAGCCGCTGCTGCACCCGTGGCGGCACTTCATTCCCACGGACCACTTCTTCGGGGACCTCTTTGACCGTGTGGAGTGGGCTCGCAAACACGATAAGCAAGTGCAACACATCATCGCCAACGCGCACCGTGTTGCCAGGTGCGGATCGGCTTCCCTCCCGTTGCGTGATGCTATTGTGCTGCCATGCATTGACACCCTACCCACACTTGCCCCTGGCGCCACTTCACAGGCCATTGCACTGGACGAACCTTCTTCAGCATGTCTCTGTTCCCTCCACGTCACTTATCAGGTGGGGATGTTCCCTTGAAAATCGCACAATCCTACCGGTCTATTCTCCTCGCCAAGCACTCCCCTCAAGCCCTGGAAGACCTTTCCACCTTCACTCCTCCACACAGGGCATCCTCCTCGTGCCTTCTTCTCCCCTCCTCTCCTCATTCCCCCATTTCTCCATTCCTCCATCCCCCCAACCTCCCCCCCCCCCCCCCCCCCAATCAGGTGGGGCTGTTCCCTCGAGGGTCGCACCCTCTACTGGGCCATTCTCCTCGTCAAGTACTCCACTCAAGCCCTGGAAGACCCCTCCGCCGTGCAACCCCCCGAACGAGTCTCCACGTGCCCCGCGCCGCCAGACAAGGCGCGCATGCGGCCCACACAGGACGAGAGTGATCGGGAGACACCGGACCCGGCCTGGCCGCCCGTGTGTGCGGATAAGGACGTGGCGCGGGTGAGGCAGCCGCTGTGCACCTTCTTCTGTGTGAAGGGACCCATGCCAAGAAATAGGCAGATCTGGCTCAGCGCTGACCTGTTTGACTCCGTTGACTTTGTGGGGCCTCACCTAGCTGACATGGAGTAGGCTGACACTAGGTGTGAGGTACCAGATTCTTGATAGGTGAGGCTATCCGTTGCATGTGGCTGTCATATAAGGGCGTGGTTCCTTAAAGCGAGGGTCTCAAGAAGCAGAAAACCAAATCCAAAGGTTTTGGATTTCCCCCCGATATTGACAGGGTTACCCTTTTAAGCCCCGCGACCAGCAACGACCTGAGAAGCGAGATCCTGATTGGTCCAACCATCCGCTTCTCAGGTCGTTGCTGGTCGCGGGGCTTAAAAGGGTAACCCTGTCAATATCGGGGGAAAATCCAAAACCTTTGGATTTGGTTTTCTGCTTCTTGAGACCCTCGCTTTAAAGCTAGAACAGCCTGTGCCCGAATTTCCACCAGACTGTACCACGCCCTAATTCCTGAAGGTCTGACAAACTCGCGCCTAGCTGACATAGAGGAGCAGATGGCTGCTGATGGGGCGTTGCTTGTTGAAGCAGCAATTACGGCTGTGTGGCGCGTGCGAAGCTGTTTATCTCTGTTGGACACTGTGGGGCCTCGGGTTTCTGAGCTGGCTTCAACGTCCGCTATCAAGCATGAAGTACGACCGTGAATGCTATTCCACATGATACCTCTGACGTTGCGGATACAATGCTTCAACCACGGCACGTAAATTGGGGTTTCTTTCTCTCTTTTTTTTATAAAAAAAATATTATATATATATGAAGGCACTTCACGCGTAGCATCCATTGAGAAAGCCCCAAAGAGAACGCAGCGCCTCACGCGAAAGAGTCTTCCGCGTACTTCTGAGCAGTTGCAAGGAGGTGAGCCATGGGGAAATCACCTGAGATGGTCTCAACAGGCCGCCCCCGTTGGAAGATGATCACAGTGGGCGTGGCGCTGACGTTGAACGTCTGGGCCATGAACGGGAGGTTGTCAGTGTTCGCCTTGCAAAAGGCGAGCTTACTCGCGTCCCCGAACCTCATTGCGAGCTCATCGACGAAGCGAACAACCTCGTCGCACTGAGCTTCGGCGGTCCAGAAGAGGACCAGGACGGGAGTTTCGCGATGAAGAACGAGGCTGTTGAAGGTTTCGTCATCGAGGTCTACAACCATCGTAGATAAATAACAATCAGCCTAAGCTGGCAGCTAAACAGAAGAATCAGCGAAATGCAGAAAGAAATGAAGGCGGTACTGACGTTTGGTGGCAGTGGCAGTGGTTTAGTAGTCCACTCACAACGCGCGCAGAGCGCGTCAGAGAGCGTTAAGCAGGATCGCAAGCAAATGCGCGTCCCAATCCAAGATTGGCTACCCGCGTAAGCTTATCCGAATGTCGCATAAGCTTATGCGACAGTCAAAGTGGATAAGCCCAAGCAGGAGGCATTGGAGTTCACAAGGTAGTCCCAAGGTTGGCCTCCTAGTCTAGGGCTGTCGCATTAGCTTATCCATCTTGACCGCATACGCTTACGCGACTGTCAAGAATAGGGAGCGACGTCGCCATTGAAGCTTTGCGAGAGAGAGCGACGGTCAAGTTCAGCGGGGCGACGACACGTTGAGATTATGAGACGTTGCCGCTGGCTGTCAGGTGGGGTTTGGTGGTGGGCGGTGGTCGGTGGTCGGCTGGAGGCAGAGATCATTGCGGTTGTACACGGTATTACGGTACTACGGTATTCTGAGGCATTCTGAGCCCTAGTCACTTGATTCTACTCTCGATGATGCCATGCCATCCCTCCTACAGCCAGCCCAATGGCCTCAAAAGACAGGAGCGCTACGGCGTAAACTTCCTACCCTTTTCTCTAATTCAGCAACTAACGGTAAGGAATTAGGAATGACTTACTGAGGCTTGCTACAGAGCGTACGACTCGAACAGTCCCGAACCATCGCCAGGGTATCAGAATTGGAATTGTAATTAATGGTAACGTGAGAGTACACACAAATATACCTAAGTGTTGTACCCTCTAAGAGGTAACCCTATACAGTCTATACAAACATAACAAATACAGATGTTTGACACACCCCCTAGACTGCATAGGGGAATACCCTAAACAAGCAGCTCAGGGCGGCACTACTAGTCCAACCTCTGAGACAAGGGTCTGAGAGACCAGTCAGAAGGAGTACAGACAAGGCAAGAACAAAACCAGGGCGGAACTACTAGTCCAGCCACTGGGAGAGGACACAAGTCCAGTCTGAGTATACATATAAAGGACAGTACAAGTCAAGGTCCTAGCAAGTGAGAAGCGACAGGAACTAGACCAAGCTGTACGCAGTGCCGCTGATGATCTTTAGGCGCAAGCGCCTTCGTAAAGATATCAGCTGTGTTGGCACCTGAGGCCAAGTGTACTACGCGAGCCTGACGTCGCTGCTGTAGCTCACGCAGGAGGAAGTACCGCAGCTGAATGTGCTTCGCTCTGCCCTCGAGTCGAGGCTCCTGACACAGGAGGATCATGGCCCTGTTGTCAGCGAACAGGACCGGGGCAGAGCTAGGCCGCTCACCTAAGTCAGTGAGCAAGAAGGTCAGCCAGCGGAGCTCCGGTGCCGCCATGGCACCAGCGTAGATCTCAGCCTCACAGCTGGACTGTGCAACAGACGAGGAGCGAGTAGCTCTCCACGAGACGGCACCTGAGCCAAGGCTGAAACAGTAGCCCTGGATAGACCTGAGTGTCTCAGCATCGTCTGCCCACGAAGCGTCTGTGTGTCCAGTAAGGACCACTGGCTTGCGTCCTCCTAGAACTAACCCCATGCCCGATGTACTAGCAAGATAACGCAGAACCCTCTTAGCGGCAGACCAGTGCTGCGGTCGGTGTCTGCCTGTGGCCACAAAGCGCGCCAGGATGCTGAGAGGGTATGCGAGATTTGGGCGAGTGCAAGTCATCAGGTACATGAGGCAACCCACGAGCTCTGCGTAGGGGCCGCTGGGCTCTACCAACTCCTCAGGTACTGGAGCGGAGAGTCTGTGGTCTACAGGCAGAGGGGTGGGCTGTGCAGAGGAGAACTGAAGGCTGAACCTCTGAAGGACCTGGCGCACCAAGTGTGACTGAGTCAGGGTGATGGTGCGCGCAGCTCTGTCCCTGGAGATCTGCAAGCCAAGGTAACGGCGCAGTTCTCCAAGGTCAGTGCAGGTGTGTCTCTTCAGCAGCTCTGCCTTCACAGAGGCCAGTGCGTCCCTGTCTGCCGTGGCAAAGACCAGGTCGTCGACGTAAACAAGGATGTAGAACGGAGTCTGGCCAGCACGAACGAAGAGTGAAGGGTCTGCGGAAGACGGAAAGAACTGCAGATCAGCAAGGGTAGCACGAAGAGTGTCGTGCCACTCACGGGGAGCCTGGCGCAGGCCGTAGACGGGGCGCCGCAGGAGCCACTGGGTCCCAGGAGGGAAGGTGCCAGTAAAGCCCGGAGGGCGACGCAGGTAGACCTGCTCGTGTAGGCTGCCCTGAAGGAAGGCAGTGGAGAAGTCGAGGGAGTGAAGCTCGTAGTCACGCTGAGCAGCTACGTGTAACAGAACCCGAAGAGTAGTCATCTTCGGGGTCGGAGCGAAAGTCTGGAAGAAGTCCACGCCCTCGCGCTGACTGAAGCCTCTAGCAACATAGCGCGCCTTGAAGACAGGCGGCTCTCCAGGAGGGCGCTTCACCTTGAAGAGCCAGCGGCCATCGACTACGTTCACCCCAGGTGGGGGAACTGCGTCAACGAAGGTGCCGGTGGATCTCCAAGATGCCATCTCCTGCTCCATGGCAGCTATCCACTGTGAGGCCCAGGGTCCCGAAGTCGCCTCAACGTAAGTGCGAGGGGTCGGGATGTCGAAAGCGTCTGGGTCACCCTCAGGGACTAGCAGCATGGAACAGAGATGGGGAGCAGCCTCAGACAGGAAAGCAAGCTCGAACTGGCGGTCCTCCAGGACGTCACTGCCAAGGGCAGGAGCACCCCCGACAGACGGAGGACAGGCAGGGTCAGAGACCAGAGCTGTGGCGTAGTCAAGGCGGCGGGTAGAGGCGAAGTCAGCGACAGCAGCGACAAGAGCGTCAAGGCACGAGACCAGAACAGACGGGTCGGTAACGAGAGAGGCAAGGACCCGAGGGACGAGAGGACGAGTGTCACGAAGGTAGTCGGACAGCGGGGGGAGCGCAACAACAAGGGAGGACGGAGGAGGCGACGGGAGAAGGGGAGGACGAGACGCGTGGGAACGAAGCAACATAGGGTGGGAGCGCAAGACAGGCGAGGCAGGACGAGCACGGGAGGGGCGGTGAGACCAGACGTGCGACGGAGGAGTCGGGTCAGGAGACAGGGGAGGGGACACAGGAGGGGAACGAGGGGGGAGACGAGCCGGGGACGAGTCCGGCGGAGGGAAAACAGGGCCGTAGACAGGAAGAGGAGGAGACGGTCGGGGAGGAACCGACGCAGGGTCGGGGGACGGAAGGCCGAGTAGGCGAAGGGCGGACACCGGCGGGGACCGCTGCTGCGGCGGCACAACGGCGACACCTGGACCGCAAGCTGCTCCTTGGCGACCACCGGCACTCTCCACACCAGCACCCCCAGAGGGACCACCCCCAGGGCGACCGGGACGAGCACCCCCAGAGTCGGCGAACGGGGGCTGCGACGGCGGCGGCGGCGGCGGCGGCGGCGGCGGCGGCGACGACGACGGCTGCAGCAGCGGTAGGGGCGGTGGAGGAGGGGACTGGGGAGGGGACACCTGGGGAGGGGCGGCTGGCGAGGACTGCACAGGAGGGCCACCAGAGGCAGAAGACTCCTCAACCGGGTCCACGGACGGAAGGGGGGTGACGTGGGACACACCAGAGGGGGCGGGACGGGGAGGAGGAGGAGGAGGGGCAGGGACTACCGGGGAAGGGGTGACCAGGAACAGGGGGGGGGTAACCGGGGGACCACGGTGGGGAAAGCGGCGGTAGTAGGAGACAGACTCGTCAAAGGTGACGTCACGAGAGTGAAAGAAGCGGTGAGACGGCGGGTGGTAAAAGTGCCAGTCGGACGCGTCAAGGGGAAAACCGAGGAAGATGCAGGGAAGGGTGCGGGCAGTGAGCTTGTCCGTGCCGGAGGCACGGACGTGAGCAAGGCAGCCCCAGACGTGGAACGCAGACGCGTCACCAGGGGACCCAGTCCAAAGACGGGTCGGCGAAACCTGCGGCTGATGAGGGTGCGGCCACAGGTTAAGCTGGTGAGAAGCGTAGCGCACAGCGAACGGCCACAGAAAATGGGGTGCACCGGCATGGATCATGGAGGTGCGAGCGACCTCCATGACCAAACCGATGCGTCGCTCAGCGACCCCATTCTGCTGTGGGGAGTCCGGTAGGGTGAACGTCTGGGTGATGCCCTCCGCACGACAAAAGCGACCAAGGACACCTGAGGCAAACTCGCCACCACGGTCTGAGTGAAGACGCAAGACAGGGAGACCGCGGTGGACACGCGCAGAGACAAGCCAGGGGATGAGAGCGCCAGGCACGTCGGCCTTGCGCTCCAGGGGAAAGACTGTGGTGTAACGAGTGAAGTCGTCGACAAGCACAAGGAAGTAGCGCTCTCGACGCGGCCCAGGGACGGGGGCGGGGCCCCAGACGTCCAGGTGCAGGGTCTGCAGCGGCGCGGCGGTAGGGGGAAACGAGGAGGAGTGAGGGGCACGGCGAAGCCGACCCTCGACACAAGGCGTGCAAGGTGGGGCTGGAGAGGAGGGAAACGCGGGGAGCGAACCTGGGAGACCAATAACGATACCGTGCTGAGACATGTGACGCAGACGCGGGAGCGCAGGGTGACCTAGGCGGTGGTGCCACAGGAGGGTCGGGTGAGTGAGGGAGCGACAGGAGCAGGCAGCAGCAACCTGGGTAGACGCAGCCACCTGAGGGGGCGCTCCAGCCAGGGGGGTCACGGTGTCCAGAGTGAACAGGCCGGACACCGGGTCCCGGGGGAACGTGGACAGGGGGGCACCAGTGGCGGCCTCGGTACAGACAGCATACCGCTCGTGACCAGGGAACGTAGTGGTGACGCCAAGGTCCTGGAGGCAGCCGACACCAACTAGGTTCCTGGAGAACGAGGGGATATGCAGACCTGTAAGAGAACCCGAAGGAACCGCCGGACAGGGAAGGGTGGTGGAACTGCGGGCGACTACCGGACCGCCGGAGGGGTCAGCAAGAGAAACGGCAGCAGGAACAGGAAGCGGCGTCAGGGTGGTGGAGTCGCGGAAGAAACACCGAGAGGCGCCAGAGTCCAAAGTGAAGGAAAGCGAAGCCGAGGGGTCTGGCGACGGAACGACGGCGGAAGCACCAAGACTACACAAAGCAGGGGGTCCTACGCCTGACGCAGCAGGGGAGGCTAAGCTAGGCACACCCACACTAGGCAACAGTGAGTAAGAAGCGGGAAGCACACTAGAGTCATCAGCATACATCACATGCAGAGCAGAAACAATGGCATCCATGTCCATATCAAAAATCTGAATCTGACGACTAAGCAAACTGTGCCAGTCCGGGAGGTCTGGCGACGGGCCGAAGCGCTGACGAAAGAGGTCGTCCA